TTCCAGCCTGTAATCCTTGCCCAGGGCTCCAGGTGAGAGGGGCAGAAAGATGGCTGCAACTTTACATGGAGAATGTAGAAGAAGAAACCTGACAACCACTTTCTCTGGCTGAAGGATACTCTCCCCGCCTTCTCTCCCTTTCTCTCCCTCTTCCTGCCTCCACCTCTCTCTGCCATCTCTTTGTTTATTTCCCTTTCCCTCAATTCCCCCTCCCTTCATATAGTTGCTAACCTTATCAATTCTGGCAGAATGAAGTTAGAGAAGGGAAGGGTAGCTTTCTGGCTTCCTGAGAGATGACAATCGTCCCCATGAAAAGTCAGTTGAGTTTACTGTTGACCAACAGTAGGACAAGTTCCATTCCTAGGAGAAATGGAACCTGGTGAGGCCAACATACAAATATTTTCCTGTGTGGTGGAGGAGACACAGCCGACGAGCGACCACAAGCCACAGAGGGTGAAACCCGATGAGACTTATCACCTTAATCCCAAAGGGATAATCTGGAGAAGCAGTTTCATTGTGCAGCTTTTCAAGGGCCTTCACTAATACCTGGCTTTGTGGGAAGATGTTGGAAGAAGGGGAGAAAGCCAAAGCACTTTGGTCTTCAGTGTGGAATGTATTGCCTGGAAAAGGAGGGAAGTTAGACCATACAGGAATGGAAATCTTCTGATGTTTGGGAATCAAATAAACAGTTTCTCTCCTCCTTCGTACACCACTGCCCTGCTAAGATGAGGCCTGAACACTCACACACAGTCTACGCAGGCATTGTTCTAGAAGAATCCCAGCCTTCCTGCCCATTGACACAAAAACTCCAATGAGAAGCTCTTCCAAGCTGATATGGCTGACACAGTTCATTCGGTGGCTCCTTTAGGTCCCTCACCATGAGGGACTTGCAGAAAAGGCACAAGTCCTAATTAGATTTTTGCAGATGATGTGGTGAGAGTCTTCAAATCAGGTGCTGGCTAACAGCATGTCAGATTAGATACTGCAGCATGGCATTCTGGCTGGCTCCACTGGTCTCTTTATACCCACCAAAAAGTATGCCTAGACGCATGTAACTTGGCTATGGTGGAAGGAATAAGGATGACCGTGATTTACTACGTAGGTAACCAGCGAGAGCACACAGGCTGTCTGGACCTCTGCACCTGACCCATTAACTAGAGATAGTTACACCTACCTAACACATTATGCCGAGAGAAATACCAGGTACTCCCACAGGAGGAGCTTTTGCTATCTATAGGTGTATGCATTTACATATATCTGTACTGAGTATTTCTGAAGATCAATTTCTCCTCTCTATCTTCATAGCTCACAAAGTGATTTTTGAAAAAGTCAATCAAGAAAGGAAGGAAACACACATACTTTCTTCTCCAACAAGTAAAAGCAATTAAACGTCAAATATTAACTGTTCCTGGGAGTAAATTTTTTTAATGGGTTAAAGGCTCAGCCATTATAGACCTCCAATATGTAATTTCTAAGAAAGGACCAGGTAATATATTTCTTTTAATTAAGTGGAAGATAAAATGCTAGAGCGATGTATCCCTTCAGAAAGCACTTTTTTATCCATTTCCAGTGGCTTCCAATTGCATCATGCCTTTTAAGAGAACCAATTTGTTTAACATCACTTTATTTTTCAACCTTCACATGTGAGAAGCATTGATTTATGATTCTGCTGATTAAAGCAATGGTGTCTGAAGCAATAATGATTTCAATTATGGAACTTCCACCACTGTGCATTATTCTGATTTTCTTTCCATTCTCACCGCATTTTTATTCACCAAAGAAGGGGGTCTGTGTAGATGATGTAATTTTGAAAAGCCCCTGAACTAATTTAACATCAGAAAAGAATGTATGGACAGATGGACTGATGTTCCATTTTGGATTATGGGGATGTATTGTATTTTAATATGCTCTGACAAACTCTCAAACAGCTCCCCGGTGAGCCCCTACCTGATATCATTAGGGTTATTTAGTGCTTGGAGCCTGCTCAATCCCCATTGGAGCCACAGTGAACTCATAGAAATGTGCACACTCCATTCACTCCACGTCTAGGGTCATGCTTTCTCTTTATGCTGGGCTGGAAGAAATGATTAAGCTCGTATTTGGATTTTTAGCTTGTTGAAATAGAGGGAACACAGTCTACCCCACCTTTTAATCCCAAGGGCCCCAGTTACTCAGCATTTCATTACTCTAAAAAAAAACTAATAATAAGTAATTAAATGAGTATTTTAAATGTTGAGAAAAAATAACTTTTAAGAAAGAAAGTTTTATTTTTGCTTACAGTGTCAGTGGCACCTGTCCATCCAGGATGTGATCTTGTGGCTTTCAGTGACAGAGAACATCATGGTGGGGAGATGTGGCAGAGGACAAACATAGATGGCACCTATAAACAAAGAGCAATACGGGGTCTGAGTAAGGCCAACCTCCAAAGGACCTAACTTCCTCCCAGTAGATCCCATCTCTTAAGATCACAACTTCCCCATACCCATATTAGCTGAAGGACACACCCTCTACAACATGGGCCTTTGGACAACACTCCAGATTCAATTGACCGAACAGCTCTGTCCCATAGACAAGGCTGGTAAGGAAGACACTGAAACTAACCTGAAGCCACAAACAAGAAAATGCTCCCATACGTCAATGCAGCTTGTGACCTACTGGAGGGGGTATAATGAAGACATCCTAAGCACACCTTGTGATGGTGGAGGTCCTTCTATGTATATGTTTGTCTTATTGGTTGATAAAGTACTGTTGACCAATAAGAAAGCACAATAGGTGGGACTAGGAATCAAGGAGGACTCTGGAAAATGTAGTAGAGATCCAGGCAAGAAGTGACATAGCAGGGTGACTCATATATAAGCAAGGGCAAGAAGGAAGTCATTCCTTTCTCTCTTCCTCCTCCTGTCTGTGGAGTCTCCATGTGACCCGGCAAGAGGACGCCAGCAGAAGGCGTCCTCCATAAGATAAGTCTTATGATTATGGATGATAATTAAGACTGTGCTAGCAAGTAAGATATCCTAGGGATTGGCCAGCAAGCAGCATTGTATCTAATATAAGTCTCTGTGTGTTACTAGGGACCTTAATGTGGCAGTGGGTGGAACTCGGGCGGCCTGGCGGAAAGCAAACACATGGCGGAGGGCTCGGGCGGTTGGAGTAAGACTTATCATTACACTCTTGTCAGTTCTTTGGCTATCAAGCTCTTGAGACAATACATCCCAAGGAAATGAAAATTCCCCAGGAATCTTACTCAGGAAGAAGAAAAAGGCTAGGAGCCTGGTGTCAACTGGACAAGGAGCATGTCTTCCCCAAAGAGATTTCACATAGTTTCAACTACTTTGCAGTCCACCTTATAAGGGGTACCGGAGCCAAAATGATGATCCTGAGCAGAGCCGCATCTTGACCAGGACTGGTCATGCACATCTTCTACCTTCTATTTAAGCCTATTCTACCTCATGGCAGGACCTCAAAGATGGAGTTGGGGATATCACCTCTTCATTCCTCACACATTTGTTCAATGTGTAACACTGAACAAATCTCCTTTTACTGCATTTCACTATTAATTGTCTCTTTAATTGGTCTATTGAGGAGGAGTAGCTGATCTTGGCTTGTTAGGGCTTCTAGAACCTGGGATCTGACCCTAAGTCCAGGAATAAAGCTAGTCAGAATTTCTAAGACAGAGTCTCACTGTATAGCCCAGACTAGTCTCAAACTACGTAACCTAGGCTGGCCTCAAAGTCCCAATCCTCCTGCCTCAGCCTTCCTAGTGCTTAGATTACAGGCATGCACCATTATTCCTGGCCCCACAATTCACACTTACTAAAGGCGCCATCCAGTGAAGGAGTGATGTCTGGTCAGAACAGCTACTCCTGGGTCCTATGCAATTGTCATCACAGGTATCTGTGAATCACAGGAGGTTGGGGCACATCTTCAGACCATTCAAAGAGAACAAGAAATTCCTAGTGTTATGTCAAGTTAAAGGCTCTCCATTTCTTCAGCATTAGCCTCACACTGGCCAAATGAAGCCTGTCTCTGGAGTGCTTCCTTATTGATGTGCAAATGGCCAGACCATCCAGTTATTGGAAGGAAGGATGTATGTACCAAGACATCACACTCTGTTATGACTCAATTGACAGCTTAAAGCTGGAGCAAGAGCTTGGTGAGTGTGACTACTTGCTTCACAAGCATGATAACATATAGCCTCAGTGCTGTGGGAGACAGAGAAAGAATGGATGGGGCTTTATGACTGTCAGTCTAGCCCCACATTCAGTGAGCGACCCTGTCTCAAGGGATAGAACATGAGTTCAGTGTCCTCCTATGGCCTCTGCACCTGTGAACACATGTACACATACACCACACATACAAACACCACATACACACACACACACACACACACACACACACACACACACACACTAACAAATTATTCTTAGTCTGATGTTTCAAAAAAACAGCTAAGGATCTGTTACACACCAAGAAACAGGTGTTAGACATTGAGGATATAAAATAAAATACAAAACCCATTTTTCACCTTCAAAAGGCTGGCATTCATGTCAATATGAATTATGAAGGATTTCAGGCTTAAAGCAATTAAAAAGAAGTGCCACCTAACATTGAAGCCCAATCTATCACATTTATTTTTAGGTAAGAACTTCTTTGTTACCCTTCAAGTTAATTTGTTCCTATGCTCTGATTTGAAACTCCATTTTAACTTAAGAACTGGTCCTGTGACTGCCAAAGTCTGTGTAGGACACACTTCCTTTAACACCTCTGACAACAACCAGAAGGTAAAATTCCAGTCACACCATGATAAAGTTTTTTTTCATCAAGTCAATGCTATAGATTTCTTAACTAGGCACTGATATTATTAGGCTTTCCATGTCTTAAACCTAGTTCTTGTTCTCAGTGACTCTATGCTGCTATAGTTTTTATGAGATCTGGCCAGCCAATGCTGTACCCATTAATCTTTCTGGAAAATAATCTTAATAATTTTTTTTCAATTGAAGGAAGAGAAACTTCAAGACACAAATAAAAACATTCAAGGTCTAGTCACTGAGTCTGTAGCCTAGCACTTGAAATATTGTATCCAAAATTGCTTCTTGGAAGAAAATCGTATCAGGTTAAGACTCCCTCTCATTAAACTTTATGATTATTTCTCAGATTCTTCCTCAAAGTACTTCTACTGAATTTCATTTGGGCTCCATTTTCTCCTTTACAAATCTATAATTTACCTCCTCTGTGGACATTACCTGAAGGCAAAGCTCTCAAACATCTCCACTATGTATAGAACTTGGAAAGACCCATTGAAGGTGGTATGCTCTGCTGAGCAGACTTGAACACAAAATTTCATTCGTCTACTACCTTAACAACAGTCAATGGCAAGAGATCTCATTTCCCTCTTCATATAACATTGCCAGCCACACCTTGGTTGTAATTCCCTACCCTTACTTTCCCCTCTACCCATCTCCATAGCAACCTTGAGAACTTCTCCCGAGGAACATTTATTCAGGCATCAGGTACATACCCTACCTGCTCTGGATGCTGGACATTGTAGAGCATCGAAGTCTTTTGACTTGATTTACCCTGCTGATCATTCTTATGAGATCACTGGCTTCTTTAGAAGTAAGTTTCTTTGGCAAATCTTCTCCAGGGCCTTTATGTAAAAGAGAGGAGGAAAAACAGATTAAGAGAAGAGGGACTTGCCCAGGTCTACAGCTCTTCCCTGCAATTTGTGGTCCCGTGTTTCCCTCTTTTTACTCTTATAGCCATTACTTACAACAGTTCTTATCTTGGTTAGCTTTCTATTGCTGTGATAAAACATCATGATGAAAAAGCAAATTGGGGAGGAAAAGCTTTATTTGGTTTACGTGTCCTAGTCACAACCCATCACTGAGAGAAGTCCAAACAGGAACTCAAGGCAGGAACCTAGAGGCAGGAACTGAAGCAGAGGCTGTGGAGGAGTGCTGGTTTCTGTGGAGGTCAGTAAAGGTCAATGGATGCCCTGGAACTGGGGTTTCAGATGACTGAGCCACCAAGTGGGTGATAGAAGTTGAACTTGGGTCTTCTGCAAGAGCAACAAGTTCACTAAACTGATGAGCCACCTCTCCAGCTTCTCAGCTTGTATTTTTATGCAGCCCAGACAATGTGCCTAGAAGTGGCACTGCCCACCATGAGATAGGCCCTCCCACATCAATCATTAATCATGAAAACACCCTATAGATTTGCCAATGAGCCAATGTGATGGTGGAAACATTTTTCCCAATGAAGTTTCTTCTTCCATGAAGACACTAGCTTGTGTCGGGTTAACAAATACCTAGTTTTTCCCAATGAAGTTTCTTCTTCCATGAAGACACTAGCTTGTGTCGGGGTAACAAAGACCAAATTAGCACAGATTTTAAACTAGAATTTGATCCAAGTTTTATCTTCAACACCGATTTACTTCGGGTTAGAGCTCTATAGCTCAAAATCCAAAGTCTGGATTGCGCCAAAGCCCAAAACTTTTTGAGCCCTGACATGGTGCCACAAGTGGAAAATCCTACACTTAATTTCATGTGACAAGTTACAAACAAAATGCAGCTGCAGTAAATATTTGGTCGCAAGTATACAGAAAACAAAGCTCCCCTTTAGACTTGAGTCCCATCCTCAAAACAGCTCATTATGTGTGCACAAATGTTCCAAAATAAAAATAAAACGTGGAACAGTTTTCGTACCCAGCATGTCACATAAAGACTGCTCAACCACTTTGAAGACTTAATAAAAGATTGTTTTATGTGAATCCCTAACTATCTCCAGGGGCTGAATAGTGAACAAGTAATGTCTGATATAGACCCCATCACCTGCCAAGGGTTCTTGCCTATGGACCACTGCACAGTGCAACCACAGCCAGACACAGCAAATATACTCATCTGAGCGCCTTGTAATCCAGAGAGCCAGGCCAGCTAGTTCCACTCCAGGTAGACCTAGAACCTGTGGTGTTAACTTCAGAGGTGATTTTGTCTAATTCAGGATCAAGGTAATTGGAAGGCCTGATCTATTGCTTACAAATATTTCCTGAGCTCTCCTTCAAGCGACTTCATTTGTCACTGTGGTCTGCTTTGAAGCTCCATTTACATTTGAGGAGTAGTCCTGTAAATATCAAAACTCACACAAGGTACATTCCCATGAAAACTTCTAACAGCAGTGGACACTGGTGTCCCAGGCCTCAGAAATGAGACACAGATGCATATAATTGAGTGAATTCAAGAGGTTGATAGTATGCACTAGTGTCACTGCAGACTTTAGGGTTTGTATTTGTGCTCTGTCATGTGACCAGAATGTTTTAGGCTTACACAGACATTTAAAATGCTAGCTACCGTCTATATGTATTTTCAATACCCTTGTAGACCAATGTGTTCAATAATCTGAGCTGAAGCTATAAGTGGTAATCAAACCCATTAAAGAAGAAACTAGGTTTTTTTGGGGGGGCGTGTTTTTTTTTTTTTTAATGTGGTCTTCCAGGAAGCTGCCTCTGGACATAACTACAGAAAATTAACACAATAAGTAAAGCATTATAGAACAGCTATTAACTGATTACACTAATAAAAGCCAAATGGGGGCCTCGAGTCTACCCCTCTGGGAAAGGAGGATAGATAAAATAAACAAGGTAAAATATAGAGTAAAGGATAATTGATTTTAAACAATAATAATGCAGTTACCTCCAACCAAGTTAAAAATAATAGATTTTTATCTGTGTAAGGAAAGATAAGAGGAAGTGGTTGATATCCTTTCTCCTTAATATCTAAGTTTCGTCCAATGGTGTTTCCCTAGGCTAACAAATTGGAGAAATTAAGGAGTGCTGACAAGTTTCTTAAATGACAGGCACATGGGCTCGGGGAGTTAATCCACCAAATTATCAGAGAAAAACAGGGTCTCCACATCCACAGCAGCATGGCACAGCAAGTCAGGTCCAAGAAAAACTGACAGGCAGGAAAGTGGAAGGAAAACTAACAGTTCCTCCTGTGGTGGGCAGAAGTTTAAGTGCAAGCCCAGTACATCTCTTTCTGTTGCCTAAATCCTAGAATTCTTGAGTATATGTGGGATTGGCTCTAGGAAGAGATGGGTCATGGTGAGAAGGTTCTCAATTTTCCATTTATTTTCTAACATACCATTCACATACCTGTCTTCAAATCTAATAGTCCTAAGAGCACCCAGTAAGTATGTGCTGGGTGACATGTGTCAAAGTAAATGCTTAATGGGTGTTGTCGCTAATTCTTGCATCATCTTCCAATTTGTAGATGAAGACATGCAGGCAAAGGGTGACATGGTGACATGCTTGAGACCCCACCATCATTAGGCCTAGCCTATTCCAGAGGTATCTGCCAGCCTGCCTCAATATAGGTACTCAAGCTTCATCAGAAATTGTTGGTGTGGGAGTCTTATTTTTCTCCCTCAGTCTCTTCTCACTTATTGTTTTAACCAGGCTAAACCCATGGAACCAATTCTTTTTGCATGGCATATGCAGAACTCTGGGTTATTTTTACTTCCCACTGGCAAAAAGTCAGCAAATTCAAATGAAATGATAATTTCTATGTGAGAAAATAGTTTAGCATTTCCTTAAAATGTGAAAATATAAAATCTTATGCAAGACACTAGCTTTTCAGTTGGCAGAAAATAGCCTGGTGGTTTCACATGAAATAAAACAAGGGCAGCTCAGATCTTTACTGTCTGAGAATTAAAGGAGCGTTCTACTGCCAGGGAACAATGGGTATTTGGGCATGAAAAGAAGAATCGATGATATATGCAGGCGGTGTCTGCATACATACATAGAGAACACTCAAGTATAAAAAGGGTCACACTTATTCAATATTTGGAAAAATGGCCCAGGAGGCATCTGATGTGACAGCCAACAAACAGAAGGCTCAGGAAGGGATATTTAAAGTTAAATGGGAGAGGGGGGATACAAACACGAGAGCTGACCAAAAGTATAATGTGTTGGGGTCAGCATTCTTGCTAGCGGAATGTTAGAGACACTTCCAATAAGGAATACTTTAAATGACATGGAGGTTCTTCCCTTGAAGCAAAACATAAAAAAAATAGAAATTACATTTTTAGGGAGTATGGGGCACAGAAAAATCATTGTCTATGGGCGATAATATTATCTGTCTAGATAACTCAAAAAGAACCAAAATAAGCTAATTATTTGAATAAGAAACCATTTAAATTGCAAATACAACAGAAGATGTATAAACAAATTACTTGTCCCAGAAAACTGTAGTAAAATATCTTAGAAAAATTACATGCAGAAAAGCACTGTGTATGAGACTGGTGAAGAAGAAGAAGAAGAAACTCCAAATGTAAATGTCATACAAAAAGATTAAGAAGGATGGATGTGATAACTCAAAATTAGAAACCTTAGATTCCCAACATTAATGTACAAATGCATCCTCACATTTTGGATTCATGGTGGCTTTTTTTTTTAACTTGGTTTTTCGAGACAGGGTTTCTTTGTGTAGCATTGGCTGTCCTAAAACTAGCTCTGTAGAGCAGGCTAGTCTCCAACTCAGAGACTCACCTGCCTCTGCCTGCTGAGTGCTGGTATTAAAGGCATGTGCCACCACTGCCTGGAGAAATTAGTGAGGTCTTAAAGAGTAGCACATAAGGGCACAACTCTCGGAAGCTACTCAATGAGAGAGAGCTTACCAGATAGGGAAGGATACTTAAAATGACAGAAAGTGAAGAGCTAGGGAAAGGTGAAGATGAAAAGATAGTGAAGTAAAATACAGAGGCACAGAAAGAGGGCTACTAGCATACAACTCCTAGATTGGGACAGAGAGGTGGTTTTATTAAATGAATTCTTACCACAAGGACAAAGACAAGCTCCAGAGAGCTGAAAGACTTAAATGGTCTCCAAGGTAAAAAGTGCCATTACAAAAGCACAAGCAGAAAATCAGATTCACATGACCTGAGACATACAGAACCTGGTTAGCCCCAAAAGCAAAGAAGAGAGAAAAGCAGAAGGCAGGGGGCATCTGCATTCATGAATGGACACAGATGTGTCAACAGCTAAAACTTAGGCAGAACAGAGTACCCCCAGTATCGGATAGCGAAGGGTTTATTAATTTGAGTGAGTGAGTGAAATGATCCATTGGTTGATTTTTTTAAGACCTGGAACTGACTCTCTGCCAGTTGGTCTTGAACCCTGAGTAATCTTCCTACCTCAGCCTCCAACACTGGGATTACGATTACATATTAATATTAATTATATGTTAGATATTAATAATAAATGCAATATTGCATTTTTAAATGTATAGCATAAAATCAACAAATCGCTCCATAGAACTGGCAAGCAAACGCTAAGTAAATAAGAAAGTTTCAGAGCATGAAAAACAAGGCAGATAAACAAGAAATGTAAAGAAAGCTGGGCACGGCAGTATACAACTCTAACTCCAGCAACATGACACTGATGAAAGAGGGTTACTGAAAGTTCAAGGCCAGCCTGAGCTACTACTGAATCCAAACCAAACTGGGCTACACTATGAGACTGTCTTTAAAAAGATCTGCATTCCCATAACTGTGAAATGATAAGAAGGCATAGGGCTTCAGAGGACAACTCTGCAAATATTCAGGAAGGTAGGAATGAAGGACAGGAAGGAGGAAGGAATAAAGGAAGGAAGGAAGAAAGGAAGGAAGGAAGGAAGGAAGGAAGGAAGGAAGGAAGGAAGGAAGACAGGCTTTCACCCAAGAGTCTTACTATAACAACTCATCCAGAAAAAAATAGCAATACAAGACTTTACAAAGCAACAATTATAAATAGCATGATAGGGCTGGGGTGTAGCCCAGAGACAGGATGCTTTCCTAACATGAATAAGTTCCTGGTCCCAGTCCCAGCATCACACCCAAACAGCATAAGTACCCAGATCAAAAAATTCTAGGACCTATATGTAAGGATATAATGGTGACATAAAACATCCTTAAAATAGTTTTCTCAATATGAGCAAATATTTATTACAGTTTACAAAAATGAATCAATGAATTGTGTAGTAGAGCTTCAGTCTCATTTTTTAAAACATGCAAATTTACTTTTACCATAAAGAAACTAGATGTGAGTGGTACACACTTAATCCTAGCATTTGGGAGGTGGAGGCAGGAGGATTGGGAATTTCAAGGTCACTCCCAGCTGTATAGTGAGTTCAAGGCCAAATTCGCTTACATGTGATCTTGTCTTAAGAAAAAACAAAAGAAAAAGAGAGAAAAAAAACAGATGGAAAAGATCAGGCTGTATATACCAACTTATTATCGATAACTACATCACAGAGGCAGGATCACAGGTAACGGGGTTATTTCATTGTGGTTTCTATCATTTCTAAATATTCTCCTCTGGATGCATATTCTTTCAGCATCCCAGAGAACAGTACTTTCTCCTCCTGGCTTTTTTGGAGTATCAGCAGAAGGTAGCAACCTGGGAAGGGTGCTGGAAAAGAAGAAAGGGGACCATGGACCACCACACGTATTTTTAATGCTCCTTCTCTATGCCTCTCCTTCTTCTAATTTACCTTTTCCTTCTGTTGTTAGAATGTTTGCACCATTTTATTGGCTCCTCCTGTCAGTGACAGGCCAGAGTGTCCCAAGAATCCTTAATGTATTTTGTGTCAGGGGCCTGTGGGTCAGTAAGGTTATTAATAAACAGCGCCTCTTGTTCTAATTTTGGTCCCTCCTCTCCTCCATGCCTCCCCTGCTGTCCTGCTTTTCCTTTCATTTCTCTTATCTGATCCCTTTCGCCTCCTCCCTGACACAAAGCATTCGGCCTTCATTTTAGCTCAACCTTTGGCATTTTTCCCATAATGCTTTTTGGATGCTGTTGGTCCTATTACGTTTTTTCATGGAGAATTTAATTTTTAAGAAATGCTTGGTGTCCTAAATCAATTTGATGCAGCTAGTACACTCCTGTGATATTACAAGCAGGAGACAATGAAGCGATACCCAAAATTGAGGCAAAATATGAACAAAAAGGGGGTACATTGTTTTTCTCAAGGATTTCTCTTAGGTCAGATGCACACAAAATCAGGCAGAACTCTGTTGTGTGTGTAAACTGAACTTGGCGTTGTTAGCAATACATGGATAATCTCAGTTTCAGATATATGTACATCAACTTTATCTCCCATTTAGAGATTGATAACCTGAATTTATGGTCATAGTAAACTTGCTTTTTCTTTCTTTTTTTTCTTAATATTTATTTATTTATTTATTTATTTATTTATTTATTTATTTATTTTGTGAGTGTGAGGTGTGAGGGGCACTCATGCCAAGCACACACATGGGAAGGTAAGAGTACCACTTTCAGGAGTCAGTTCTCTCCTTCCACCATGTGGAGCTTGGGGATTGAACTCCTGTCATTAGGTTTGGTGACTTTATTTGCTCAACCATCAGGCTGGCCCACGTTGTTCTATTACTTCTGACTTTATTATACAAATAGAAATTGCCATAACACAATCACCTCTCTCTCTCTCTCTCTCTCTCTCTCTCTCCAC